TTTCTTTTACTTTTGCGACAGTACTAGTCAGCATTATGCGAAGATAAGATAGTTTTGTGTTTCTCGGTGCTACGTTACAAGACTACGCAATTATATATATTATTTCCACGACGAGAAAGGCGTAGGTTTCATGTGAGGATTTGCGTAAGCAAGATAATTAACTCCCATTTCAGAAGCTATTTAAAAAGCAAGAGAATATTGTAAAAGTAGCGCGTTTGTCTATAACTTACTTCCAATGCAAAAATTATGCTCTCTCACAAAAATATCTACAGATTATTGTTTTTCTAGTTTGAAAAAAACTGTTTGAATTACCAGACAGTCAGGTGTCCTAATTGTGCCGGAAAAAAAGCTTTTAACATTTTACTTATATTTTCAAGCTACGTGCATCATAGAGAAGGTTTTCTTTCTGAGAGACATTGAACATTTCTCTATTGGCTGATATAAAATTAATTAACAAAAGAATTAATTAATTACTTTAGATGAGTGACAATAGAGAGAGTCAAACTTGATTGAATTTTAGTGTGTTTCGAATTTTGCTGCTCCATATATTGTTTTTCCTCTTTCTGTCGTTTAGTAGAAAATTGCATCTTTTTTCAGAAAAAAAACAGTTTCAGCATGAAAACGACCGAATTTGAAAGTAAAAATATATTATTCGAGTCATTGCGACATAGTATCTTTGATCTGTTTTTCAAAAAAACTTGTATTCATCTAATATTTTCTTCTTTTCAGAAGATAAAAAGGGTGTGGGCATGAACATTAGACTTTTCTTCATTCATACCCACACTCTTTGTTTTTTGATTGATTACTTGTCTTTTTCTCAAGAGATAGGTCGATTTGTTTCTCAATTTATCTAATACGAGCAAAATGGAATGTATGAATGCAGCGAAAGCAGTCTTTGATTTTTTAAAAATTGCTGAATTTCGCTATGAATGTGAAGAATAGCTTTCAAATACCAACAAAGGTTACTTAGGTTTTCAGGTTTCCTTTGCAGTAATCTGATCGTCTTAGTCAATATTTAACTTTGTTTTTATTGAGCAAATCATGAGTCAGTCGTCATTGTTAGTTGTATTCGAAATATCATCATGGTACGGCTGTTAGGATCGGATGAGGATATCGTTATCAATACAACCGGAGATCTGGATGTAGCATTCACATGAGACGAATTTGACCTTTGCGAAGAAGAATAAACAATATCCATGGATGAGGAGCTTCGACGAAATCAACTTTCATATAATCTGGTTGATTCACGTCGATCTCGTGTTGTAGCAGTCGTCCGTTGCAATACATGTTAGTTCGTTCATTGACAATACTCAAATGGTGTCGATCACAATCGATTGTCAATCTGTAAATATCATCTTCTTGATGGTGATTTGTCCAGCGATGTTTCTCTTGCACCTTTCCATTGACAAGAACACCTCCACCTGTCCACCAGCCGTGCGTTGAAACTGTGTTGGAGATGAGCATGGGTATAGCGATGTCCGCTGAGACAATTCCCATGAATGTGTCATATTTACTTTCGACTTTTATGCGAATTGAATGAATATCTGTCGAATAGAACTGAGCACCAAGCGCCCAGGTATGAAAATTCAGATGGCCCATTTTTTTGCACACTCGATCATTCTCGAGTAGACGCATGTCTCTCCCATAGATTCTAAAAAATGTGCAGTTCGACAACATTGCTTTTCTTTTAAAAATATAATTGAACGTGTCTGGCAGCAATAAACGATGAAATAAAATACAAATAACGATCGTGTACTTCTCTTAGAAACTGGAGTGCTGAAAAGGAACGATAACAAAATTAAGTAAATATACTGCAACATGAACAAGGATATTTGATCTTCTTCGCTTGATGGTAAAGGTGAGATTAAGGGATGAGGACTATGCTATTCTGCTCATCTTCACTCCTATGAGTGTCTTTGAGTTCAATTTCATAATACTACTAAACTCAGTGCCTTTTAGTGTATCCAGGAAAGGTACAGCTGTATCCGAACAGATTTCAATCGAAATGGTGTTCAATGTCGACTAGAATCAAATTCTAATAGATTTTATCTGACACTTTCTTTTACAGTGTATTGGTCGCTTCTTGAATAAATTTCTCCTACGAAAATGTAAATGGTTAAGAGCTGATCTCTTGGAAACACAAATGCAATCTATTTGGTTGATATACATCAGCAGTAGCAGAAAGGACTATGATTAGTCTTACGTTTGACTGCTCTTCACTATGAATTTTTCCTTTGTACAGACCTAATATAAAGTGTAAGATACAGCCAAAGATCATTCGTTCTTTTCTACGATTCATTCTACTTGTATTTTTCATATGCTAAGTTTACAAACAGCAGGACCGGCGAGTGCCCGTGTATATCTGATCACTACAGTTTCTTTACGGATACGAAGTGAAGAAACTGTCAGAAACGATAGCTGTGTATCACTCTTCTTCTCTGAGACAGGATATCTAGTGACACTAGTTGAAAACAGAGACTAGAACTATTGTCGGATACGGCCATTTCTGGTCGTGCGAGTTGATGTTCAAAATTAGAATCTAGTCTATTGAAACATCTACAATTAATGCGAAGGTTGTTGAACCATTTCTTTCGAACTTTATTAAATGACGTCCTTAATTAAAGAGAAAACATGTCATAGCTATAATTATACTATTTTACTAATATAAACTGTCCTATCAGAAATAGTCTTGATACCCATAATCCCGGTATCAGGGAGAAAAGAAAACACAGGTAAAGGGAAGCAAAACAAAAAAATATACGAAGAAAGAAATGTTAAAAAAGAAGAAAAAACAGAATACAAGGACTTTTTGCGATTAGAAGTCAAGATAGTAACACTGATTTCAAACTGCTCACTTGGCAAAATCGACGGCGAACACCTTTTTTTGAGGGATGTTACGCTTACGGTTATCACTTTCGAATGTATATTCTAATTGTAAACGAAGCCTTAGTAATGGCGATAAAAAATAACGCCACGTAAGAAGTGTAACAGTCATGTAGAAGAAGAAAAACAAGTGAAAGAAAAAAAGAAAAATTCACATGTCAGAGAAAGAAAATAGATGAAGAATATTCACATAAGAACCGCAAAAAAAATCATTGTTTATGCTGCACAATGTGTAGCATTGAAAAGAAGTGTGGGTGACGGTAAGTTTACACCGAAACATGATTCAAAGCAATCATGTGATATGTTTCAATTTTCTCCCTAGGAAAGAACGTGCCAGAGCCTTTTCTTTTGCTCAAGGATGGAAGTGAGCGCGTGCCGGTAGATTTATCACCCCCACCCTCACTCCCTACTCATTACGCACAGTTATTATGCTTGAAAATGGATTGACATGTTTTTATATAATTTATTTTGACCTTTTAAATTGAAGAAACGCATTCCAATAAAAAATAACGTGATTAACTGTAAAAATAGCGTTTTTTTTCGAAAATTTGGCGTTGAAAAGCTACTTTATAGCAACGTTTTTTCATGAACAATGTATCCAAACAACAACAAATATCCATTGAGTAATAATGAGAAAATAGCGAACTGAAAATGATTCAAAACCAATATTTACATCAAGTTTGGTGGATGACTAATAAGGAAAAGAACGGATAAATTTATCAGCATGTAATATCTAAAGCATATTCATTCGTTACAAAAGCGCAACAACAGTAGACGAAAATCGATTTGAGACAAGTGAGAATAATCCTTACGCGCATAACCAATTGCATTAAATTTTATATTAACTTCTTCATGATCAAAAAGCTTTAACATATCGAGTTGGATCATCCAATTCTCCACAGCATGATCTTTTTTTCTTTCGTGTTTTAACAATTTAATAAATGCTGTTCTCATTCTTGACTTTATGTGGACAAAGAAAAGAAGGAGAAGAGTAGTGATAAGAGTTATCTACAATGTGCTTACCATCTTTTCGTAGCATGTCGTTGTTTTCTTTATGCCGACCACCTACTGAAATTTTGAATCTTAATATTACTCGAAAGATTAATTAATTGTATTCATAGAGACCTCTTGAGTAAACTTCTCAAATCATTCTTTGTAATGCTTTCGATCTAATTGTATTCTCTTTTCAGATACACAAATGAATAATTATTCGATCGAAAAAAATCTGCAACACCCTAACATTTACAATAAATATACACCATTCTATGAATCCATCAAGCGACAAAGTTTCATATTGTTTGATGAAATTCGAGAAAACTTATCGTGTACCATTCAATCGGGTGAATTAGAGCCTGGCTTTTCAGTTTGGTCAGATAAACTGAAAAGATTCATTTCACTCTATGGATTCAATTTTACTGAAGTTGATCATGTCAAACTTATTAATTTGTATTTGTCTATTCTTTCTATTACTAATTTGAATTATATACATGCTCAAATATGTTTTGATATGCTTCGCGAGCTCATGCGGTTCGTATTTTCATTTCGGTTTAGAAATAATAGAACAATGTTTTGTAGAAAGATCCGTCTAATCACAAGAAATGATTTGACAATCGATTGGCGAATATTCTACAATTGGGCTCAACTCATTTATGATAATCATGATAAAACACATGGATTAGTCATTTTGCCCAAGTTCGTATGATTTTTTTTTGTATTGAAGAACTGAAATAATTTATTATTATTATTATTAATTTTGCTTTCAGAGATATTAATAAGTCGCTTTTTGCTTGTGTACGACTATGTACTTCATACTTTTCAGCACAGGCCACTCAAGAAATTCTTGACGAATTACGTCCACGAATGTGTCCATTTGATTGGAATTTTGATAATACCATCAAAATGTTTACTCTGCTTCTTCCTGTCAATCTGCCTCTAGATTTGCACAATCAAGGATTCAAGTTTGTTCATCTCTTCCTTCTTTCTGTTATATCTTTCTCTTTAGATTATGGCTAGCTGAGTTTTTCAGTATATGGGAAAATATGCAGAAGACATCAGCGTGGAAATCAGTGAGTTGTCTTATTCATTATATATTTTTTATAATCAAAAATCTAATTTAGTATCTTTGTCTTATATTTTCATCGCTTGCCTGGAATAATATAGGTCATATTCATTGGGAACCTTGGATACCACAGGTGTAAAAATTTCTTGTTTTTTTTAAAGTAAAACCAATTTTTGTTAGATTTTTACACATATACTTCGAAGTTTTTCGCTTCCAATTGGTAAAATGCAAATGTCTTTAGAAGAATACAATCCTATTGTGTCAACTTCAACAAAATGGATCATTGCGATGATAGGCAATGGAAGTTCATGTCTTCAATACTTGCGAGATCTATTGATTGCTATGAAAAGTTTCTATCATCCATCGAATACGGGAGCATTTCAAAAGGATCTAGTCGAGTTTATTCTAGGACTTGCTCAAAATTTTGTCGATCGAGTTCATTTGTGAGTATAAACAAAATACTTTTTATGTGTGCGTTTTATCTGTAAAGAATTTTGTAGGGAACGCACAAGTCGTCCTGTTTGGTTCTTTGCACCACTAGAATCATATCGACTCACTGAACAAGATATTACTGATTTTGTCAATTGTATGAAAGACTATGCATTCATTTCTATTTTTAATAAGGATTATACTGAAGAAGCAGCTAAAACTTGCAAATATCTTTCCATACTTCGACCAGAATTGATTATACCATCAATTGTTGAAAAGTCTGATATACTTTTTTTTTTATTTCTTTGATAACTCATTGATACTTTGTAGACATTTTTCGTCTATTGATAGTATGATTGAACCACATCGTTTTACATCAATCATGACTTGTTTAACGCATATTGCTCGTCAAATAGTCCAACAAACATCTGCTTATTCTCAAGGACAAATTTATGTATTACCATTACTCATGTCTGTGTTACCGGGTATCGATTTGAATGATTTGGAAAAAACATCAGTTACATTAGAATTTCTTGATACTATTCTTATGCTTATTACATGTGTTGATTGTTCATCAGCAGTGAACATTCGAAATGATCTAACAGAAGTGAAATTTAACTTTAACATCGAACAACAATGTATTCTTATTTTTTATAGATTGAGAAAGAAGTATGTTTATCAACATCAAACTTTGACGATTTCATTGTCGAATTTCTCAAACGAATATTTCAAATGATTGACGTATTATCAACAGATATGTCCGATGCTGTCACAAGTAACGCAGATGTTGATATAGATGATATCATGATCAACTGGAAACTAACAACTATTATGTTCAATATAGTTCAGCAGTGCAGTAGCAAAATCTTTCAAGTATGTATCGGAAATCTATTTGATCATTTCTTCCATCAAATAGATTAATCATATGTTAAAAAATGCATTAATTACATTTCATTTGTAATATATGATTTTGAATATCGATATTTAGAAAATTCGAGAAAAAGTGATAGATTTTGTTTCTGGTGTATGTTTATCATCTCGAGCACGGGACATTGCCTCTGGTCTCGTTCAAGCACTTGTCAAGGGAAATCCAGTCGAAACACTCAAGTATCTCATGCCTAAAACATGTGAATCCATCGAAAACATATTAAACCATTCCGAATCGACTATATTACTAACTGATTACAAAGGTGATATTGAACTGACTTGGTATTTAATTCTCTTTGCAGAGCTTGTTCATGCTCGTGGTGATGCTCTCATGATCTATAAACCAATGATAATGTCTGTTTTTCGTCAATGTATTCATTTCATTAACAAGAATTCATACGAAACTATTGCTCATGCCGTTGAACATTTACTCGAGTCACTTACTCATGTATATCCGATCGATTATCGACTAACGGTTGAAAATATTGATGAACCATTTGTTGACTTTTTGCCAATTCGAGTAAGTTTGTCTTTTTTTTTTCAATATCTTCTATAGAATATATCATTTAGGCTTGGGGACAATATGTTGATTTCGATAAACTTCAAGTTCAATTTCATATTCCGAATGATGATGAAATTGATTTTGCTTGTGAATTTGTCAATACATTCATATATCCTGAATTAACCTTGTTGAATGAAAAAGGTTTAAAAATATCGAACGATGAACGATTAAGATCGCTCACTATTATTCAATCTATAGCCGTCGGGTGCTTTCGAATGATACCACGTATCGAAAGCGAACAAATACAAAATCTGTAAGTAACCATAGAACATGAATGATCATTTATACAAATAAAAGAATTGTCGTAGTATACCATCAGTTGTTCCTTATGAGTCAAAGTATCAAATTCAATTTCCAATCTATTCTCAAGAACTAAGTAAGAAGAAACATTGATACTAGGGGAGGGAAGTTACCGTTACGTTACCAAGTAACTAGTAACGCAGGAGTTACTAGTTACCGGGTAACTAGTAACTTTTGCGTTACCAGTTACTTGGTAACTAGTAACTTTTGCGTTACCAGTTACTTGGTAACTAGTAACTTTTGCGTTACTAGTTACTTGGTAACTAGTAACTTTTGCGTTACTAGTTACCGGGTAACGGTAACTCTGCGTTACTCGGTAACGGTAACTGGTAACTTCAAATCTCTTCCATCCTCACGCAAAGGTTGTGTTTCCCAAATTTTGAGGTCCTATAAATTGGAATATATCGGGAGCCTGAGGTCCTTAAGTCCTATATTATGGGGGTACCCTTAGGTCCTCAAGTCCTATATTATAGGGGTACCCCTGGGTCCTCAAGTCCTATATTACGGGGGTACTCCTGGGTCCTCAAGTCCTATATTATGGGGGTACCCTTAGGTCCTCAAGTCCTATATTATAGGGGTACCCATAGGTCCTCAAGTCCTATATTATGGGGGTATCCCTGGGTCCTCAAGTCCTATATTATGGGGGTACCCTTAGGTCCTCAAGTCCTATATTATAGGGGTACCCTTAGGTCCTCAAGTCCTATATTATGGGAGTACCCTTAGGTCCACAAGTCCTATATTATGGGGGTACCCTTGGGTCCTTAAGTCCTATATTATGAGGGTACCCTTGGGTCTTCAAGTCCTATATTATGGGGGTACCTTTAGCTCGACAAGGACTATATTATGGGGGTACCCTTAGGTCCTCAAGTCCTATATTATGGGGGTACCTTTAGGCCCTCAAGTCATATATTATGGGGGTACTCTTAGGTCCTCAAGTCCTATATTACGGGGGTACTCCTGGGTCCTCAAGTCCTATATTATAGGGGTACCTTTAGGTCCTCAAGTCATATATTATGGGGGTACCCTTAGGTCCTCAAGTCCTATATTATAGGGGTACCCTTAGGTCCTCAAGTCCTATATTATGGAAGTACCCTTAGGTCCACAAGTCCTATATTATGGGGGTACCCTTGGGTCCTTAAGTCCTATATTATGAGGGTACCCTTGGGTCTTCAAGTCCTATATTATGGGGGTACCTTTAGCTCGACAAGGACTATATTATGGGGGTACCCTTAGGTCCTCAAGTCCTATATTATGGGGTTACCTTTAGGCCCTCAAGTCATAGATTATGGGGGTACTCTTAGGTCCTCAAGTCCTATATTACGGGGGTACTCCTGGGTCCTCAAGTCCTATATTATAGGGGTACCCTTAGGTCCACAAGTCCTATATTATGGGGGTACCTTTAGCTCGACAAGGACTATATTATGGGGGTACCCTTAGGTCCTCAAGTCCTATATTATGGGGTTACCTTTAGGCCCTCAAGTCATAGATTATGGGGGTACTCTTAGGTCCTCAAGTCCTATGTTACGGGGGTACTCCTGGGTCCTCAAGTCCTATATTATAGGGGTACCCTTAGGTCCTCAAGTCCTATATTATAGGGGTACCTTTAGGTCCTCAAGTCCTATATTATGGGGGTACCTTTAGGTTCTCAAGTCCTATATTATGGGAGTACCCTTAGGTCCTCAAGTCATATATTATGGGGGTACCCTTAGGTCCTGAAGTCCTATATTATAGGGGTACCTTTAGGTACTCAAGTCATATATTATGGGGGTACCCTTAGGTCCTCAAGTCCTATATTACGGGGGTACTCCTGGGTCCTCAAGTCCTATATTATGGGGTACCCTTAGGTCCTCAAGTCTTATATTATAGGGGTACCCTTAGGTCCACAAGTCCTATATTATGGGGGTACATTTAGCTCGTCAAGGACTATATTATGGGGGTACCTATTCTATACTGGTATCCATAAGTCTTCACGGCCTGCCGAATAGGACACCCTCATATAATAGGATATGAGGACCCGAGTGTATTCCTATAATATAGAAGATGAGAACCCAAAAGTACCTCCGTAATATAGGCCTTAAGGACCTAAGAATACCCACATAATACAGGACATGACAAGGGGGAAAGTGCAGGTACCAAGTGCCAAATTGTACTTGATGGTGCTGAGGTGCTGAAAAGGTGCTGAGGTGCTGAGAAGGTGCTGAGGTTCTGAAAAGGTGCTGAGGTGCTGAGAAGGTGCTGAGGTGCTTATAGAGTTTAGATGATATTATATGTTTTAACGGCTGTTATTGACATAACCTAATAGCGTTCTCTATTAGATTTATTTCGATATCATAATCCTATTGAATGTTCTCTGTGTCCAATGAGAAAGGAGGTGTGTGAAATTCCTATCTCGGCATACCAAAAATTTGACCCTAATTTTATCAGCGCTAGAATCAGCATTGAACCCTGATTCTTTTTCACGAGTTTATTTTACACTTTCTCATCATTCGATTTTTCGACCCATGGAGTCCCCCAGGGATCGAAAAAATTTTTTTATCAAGAATCCTTTAGAAGTCCTTACAGTTTTATAGAACTAAGTGTGCTGATTCCAAATATGATATTTATTTTAAAGATTAATAGGGAAATAAGAAAGATCTGAAGTACTTAATGAGAGGTCTAAAAACCTGTTTTTGACCTAAAGGTCCATAGAAATCTCATTTAAATTCATTGAAAATAGGCTCATTCGACTCAGAATGTTTTTCTCTACCAGAATCTATAAGAACCTTTTAGGTATTGAAAACTTTTTCTATCGAACACTGGGGAACACCGCCCCCGATTGGACTCTATTGCTATCAAGAATGACTTTTCTCGCTCCTGACAAGTTATCGTTTATAAGAGTGTACCAGCGAGATTTTTTTTATGGAATATGTAATTTTATATGCTCTTCCAAATGAAACTATTTTCAACTTGAAATTCGATGTCTAGTGGACCATTTTCTATCTAACACCTATCTCGAGACCCTTTTTTTCCTATTTTTGCCCAGTATTTCCCAGTGTTCGTCAAGGATAATGTTGATTTGACTTCAAACAAATATCACATTCGGAATTAGCACACAAAACTGCATTGACCTACATATGTTTCATATCGTTTCTGAGACTTTCATTTTTCCCAAAGGGGAAAGTGCAGGTCCCTGGCACCAAATTTGCTCTGGAATACTGAGCAGGTGCTGAGGTGCTGATAAGGTACTGAGGTGCCGAGAAGGTGCTGGACAGCTGCTGAGGTGCTCATACATATTTGGCATTAGACTGGAAATCAAGGTAATAGCTATGAAGAAGACTCAGACTATTCCGAATCGACTTTTTCGATCAAAACATGAGTTTTTCGAGAAAATAACGATTTTTGATAAAACTTCACTAAAGGCTTTCGGAGTCAAGGAACCCGAATCTATAGTTGGTTTCTCGAAATTCTCGAGTTCATTTTTTTTCAATCAGTAGAGTTCTATTTCAAGACAGGCGTTCTCTCATCGAAAAAAAAATCGAACTCGAGAATTTTGAGAAACCAACTATAGATTCGAATTCCTCGATCCCGAAAACCTTTAGTCAAGCTTTTTATAAAAAATCGTTATTTTCTCGAACAACCCTTGTTTTGACCGAAAAAGTCGATTCGAAATAGTCTCAGTTAGACAGCAGTGTCACATATCCAAGATTTTGGAGATGCCACCACGTCTCTCGCGGGAGATGCCGCATCTCGCGCGAGAGATGCGGGTGTGGGTGTGGGGGATGCGCATCTCTAAAGGAGATCTGACATCTCCAGTGGTGAATGACCACATCTCTCGAGTGTGGGTGTCGCGTATCCCGCTGGAGACGCGGCATCTCCCACGGGAGATGTGGTGGCATCTCCAAAATCTTGGTTATGTGACACTACTCCAGTTAGGGGTGAGAAGTTATTGTTATTGGTTGTTATTAATAACAGATCAATAACAAATCCTAATCTATGAAGGTACCCTTAGGTGCTCATCTCCTATTATATGGAGGTACCCTCAGGTCCTCATGCCTACTACCTGAAGGTATCCTTGGGTCCTACTATCTGAAGGCACCCTTGGATCCCCATATCCTATTATATGCAAGTACCCTTAGGCGCTCATGTCCTATTATCTCAGGGTATCTTTGGATCCTCATCTCCTATTACGTGAAGGTATCCTTAGGTCCTCAAGTTCTATTATATACGCGTATCCTTAGGTTCTCAAATCCTACTATATGAAGGTACCCTTGGGTTCTCATCTCCTATTATATGAAGGTACACTTAGGTCAGTAGAGGGATGTAACAATCCTAATACTTCCAATACCAATACCATTTGGCATTAGTGGTATTGATAGTGTGCAAAGGAATATCAAAGTTGAAAATTTCGAAAAAATAATGGTAGATTCGAATTCCTCGATCCCGACAGCCGTTGTTCAAAATTTATATAACACCACTATTTTTGGGTAGAAAAGCCCTTCCTTGACGAAAAAAATCAAAAACATTAAATATGGAAAGATTAATTTTATGTTTTTGATTTTTCGTCAGTGAAAGGTTTTTTTTCATAAAGTTAGATCAAAGTTTGACGGCGTTGCAGAATTCGAATCTATGATGAGTTTTTCAAAGTATTCAAGTGTGTCTTTTCATTGCACACTACCAATGCCACCCATACCATTGCAAGTATTAGCATTGTTGCACCCATGTGCTGACCTATTGGTAGCCTTATACCATAGTACTTGAGAGCCTCAGAGGCTCTCCATGTAATAGCTCTGGACAGGGGTGTCGCGAGGTTCCCAAGATTGGGGTGAGGGGTCGATGACTCGGAAGGTCGACCGAAAAATTTTTGCTAAAACTCACTGGATTGGGGGGGACGAGCGGCTTTTTGAGAATCGGTGAGCAAAAAAACGAATAAAATTCTGCAACTTTGCTGGGAAAAAACGAAAATTTCTCAAGATTGGGCAAGGGGAGGAATCCCCCCGCTCCTCCCCTCGCGACAGTCCTGGCTCTGGGGGACCAGTGGTAATTGTCTATAATAGGATATGACGATCTAAAGGTACCACCATATAATAGGAGATGAGGACCCGCGGGTACCTTCGTATAGTAGGAGATGAGGACCCAAGAGCACCCACATATAATAGGAGATGAGGACCTAAGGGTACTTCCATATAGTAGGAGATGAGGGCCTAAGGGTACCTTCATACAGTAGGAGATGAGGGCTTAAGGGTACCTTCATATAGTAGGAGATGAGGACCTAAGGGTACTTCCATATAGTAGGAGATGAGGACCCGCGAGTACCTTCGTATAGTAGGATATGAGGACCTAAGGGTACTTCCATATAGTAGGAGATGAGGACCCAAGAGCACCCACATATAATAGGAGATGAGGACATAAGGGTACTTCCATATAGTATGAGATGAGGGCCTAAGGGTACCTTCATATAGTAGGAGATGAGGACCCGCGAGTACCTTCGTATAGTAGGAGATGAGGACCTAAGGGTACCCCTATATAATAGGAGATGAGGACCCAGGTGTACCTTCATATAGTAGGAGATGAGGACCCAAGGGTACCCACATATAACAGGAGATGAGGACCTAACGGTGCTTCCATATAATAGGAGATGAGGGCCTAAGGATACCTTCATTTAATAGGATTTGTTATTAATCTGTTATAAATAACAATAACAATAAATTCACATCCATAGTCGCAGTCTCCTTCATAGCTATTACCTTAATTTCCAGTCTAATGCCAAATATGTATGAGCACCTCAGCATCCACAGGTGCTGAGGTGCTGAGAAGGTGCCGAGGTGCTGAGCAGGTGCTGAGGTGCTGAGGCGCTGAGCAGGTGCTGAGGTTCCAAATCTGCACTTTCCCCCTTGGAACATGAGGGCCTAAGGAAGAATAAGAAGAATACCCCTGACTTTTGGCTACCTTTCAGTATGGGGTACTGTCCAAGGACAGTTTCGAAGGCCGGATATTTTTCCTGCAACTAGTACTAGTTACAGTTCTGGGCAGAAGGCCGGCCTGACTCAGAGTTCTTCTCGCTTAATCGCTTAAGCTCCCCTTACATGCTGACTAACCACATACGAGTTATAAAGGCTTTTTGTGTATGTCGACAATGTAATCAGTATGTTATCGGATGCATGGTCCGAGACACTACAACCGTTAGTGACTTGGCTAAGGTCATTCTATGTATGATGGTGCCGAAGTTCGAACACACTATCTTGTGGATATGAGTCGAACATCGAAACTATTCAGCCACAGCGGCTCGGACCTAAGGGTACTCGTATAATATAGTACTTAAGGACCTGAAGGTGTCCCCATAATATAGGACATGAGGAACTAAGGGTACCCCCATAATAGAGGACTGGAGACCCAAGCATACCCTCATAAAATAGAAGATGAGAACCCAAGGGTACCCCCATGATATAGGACTTAAGGACCCAAGGGTACCCCCATAATATAGGACTGGAGGACCTAAGGGTACCCCTATAATATAGGACTTGAGGGCCCACGGGTACCCCCATAATATAGGACTTGAGGACCTAAGGGTATCT